TGGGGGATTTTTTTTTTGTTTGTTTGTTTGTTTTTTCTAAGGTAGATGGCTTTATCTTCCTCTTTTGCTTGGCATGTTTAAAGAGAGTGTAAGTGAGTTACCTGGCCTCTTCCTTTTGCGAGAGGAGCTGAGGGACTGAGGCTAGCACAGGGTTTGTGCGGCGAGCGGATGAGAAGCAAATTCCGCGTAGACCTGCGGAGTCTCACGTGGGCACTGCCATAGGCGGGACACCCTTCCGCTGGTCACCTCCTGGCAGGGTGGGACTCGGCTTTCGTTGGTGTAACCCTAATAACACTGCTTCATCTTTCGCTTCTTGGGGTTGGCTGCTGTACTGGGGGAAATTGTTCCTTCCCAAAAGCACGCAAGCCCAGGCAGTAGAGCGCACTGAATCCAGCTCGGGCACCTGCATGCAATAACAATAGCTACTGCTTAAAAAAAAAAAAAAAAAGCTGCACAGAGAAAAGTTGTGGATGTTTTATAGGAAGAACAAGTGCCTTAAAGCTTCAGGTTTTTTCACAGTGACTTTTAGAGATTTTAAAAAAAATAATAAAACCCCTCACCCGTTTGGTCGTACACAGAACCCCCAAATTTCTCAAACCTATCTCGGGAAATAAGATTCAGTAGGCCAATGTGTTGCTAATTAATGATGCAAACTCTCTGCAGAGGTAATTCAAAATAAATGAGGAACAAATGTGGTCATCTTAACAGGATTTTTCCAAAGGATTTTTTTTTTTTCTCCAAAGTCCTTTCAAAATAATTGGGGTTTCTAATGTCAGCTTCTACTCTAATATTTTGAAATCAGTATTTGAAGTAATACTTTTGTCTGTGGGGAAGCAAACTGGTTTGTCTTGCGTTTGTTTGGAAGAATTGAGAGGTGTAGGTCAGGTGGCTGTAGCTGCAGTAACTTAGCAAATTGAGCTCAGTGAAGGAGGAACCCTGGAGGTTCCGAAACAAAACAGAAGGTTCGAAACAAAACCAGAAGCTTTTGTTGATCCTTATGTAGAATTTTACCTGTTTGAAGCCAGACTAGGTCATATGTGCGTCGTGATGAATAACGCTTTCTACTTCTAATAGTATTACGATTATAAAATTCCCAGTTCTTTCTATAAAATTTTAAATTCTGTTTGAATGCTTAAATGAAGACGTGTAAAAACAGGGCAGAATGAAACAGCTTGCCATCTTCTGCTGTTTTTCCTTGTAGTTAGGCATGTTTGCTGACCATTTGTCTAGCTTCTTTTGGCCAAAACCTATAGACCCACCAAACCATAACACATTTACCGTGTAAACTGTTAAAACATCCTTAATATGGAGGGGGAAGATGGTTCTAATCTTTGGTAATACTGGGATTCCTCTGTTCTGCTGTAATTATCAGAGGAAAAACATGTGCAAGAGTAGTTAAGCTGTTTACCAGCCCACAAAAGCCCTTTGGATAGTCTCCCAAGGTAACAGGGGATAGTCCCAGCTAGTCATGGGATCCATCGCAGCTATTTAAATCAGAAGGCAGATTGCGCTGTGTTACGTCGGAGGCAGTTTGGCATCAGAGGACTGGGTCTCTTAGCCTGCACCTCTGGAAAAGTAAGTTTCTTACCTGCCAAGTTGTCTGACCTTAACTTTATTCTCATCTCTTTTTGTGTAGTTGTTTTGATTATTTTTGTACGGATCAACAATGCAGAATACTTTCTCTAACTTTAAATTTTTTTATTTGAAAAGTATTGACACGGTTTGCCGAAATGTCTGAGTTTAGTTTGTGTCTTAATGAAAGTTAATATTTAAAGCATTCAGTTAATTTAGGAGTTTAGCAGTATTGAATGGCAAAATGATTCAAAGATGAAAGAATCTCTTTCAGAATAATGGTACTTGCTTCCTTTCACCTGCTTTCTTAGAGAGATATGTGCTTTCTAGTTCGCAGTAATAAATTAAATTTGTGTGATCATAGGTATTTAGTAAGTAATGACTTGGAGGTTAAAATAGTCCTGTTGTATATACGTTTGTGCATAAATATTAATGATTAAATCACTAAAAGGGGTCCCAGTTGGCTGTGGAAGCAGAGTTTTGTATTTGGTTTCCATAAAGGTGGGAATTAAGTATTAATTGTAATTTTTCTTTTTTGCCTAATACGAGAGACAGTGGAAACTTCTAGTTACTGAAACTTGGCCAATATAAGTAACTGTACAGAACAGTAATGATTTGATTTGATTTTTGTCACTTTTTTTTTTTTAGCTGAACAACTAGCGGACTACTAGTTCTTTAAAACTAATAGACTTTGGGTTGCAATCCAACAGGTTTGCTGGTGGTTTTTGTTTTGGTTTGGTTTTTTAATGGATAGTGACCAGTGTTCACAAACAAATAAGGCAAAAGTGTAGTCGTGTATATCAGGCAATAAGAGTAGATTCATGCACTTGAACATAAAATTATTTGGACTAAAAATTGGCAGGCATCCCAGTCTTTGTAGTTATGGAGAGACTGGACAGAGGGGGAAAAAAAAAAAAGAGCAACAATGAAGAGAAACAGTGTACGATAGGAAATTGTTAATTAAGATGACATTTGATTACCTGCCATAAAAATCCAATGACTTAGTATATTTGATTTGCCAGAAAGCTGAAAGTATGCCTACACGGCGTGCTCAGGAACTATGTAGATCCAATGGCATGCTGATTTTTGGTTCAAACCCCCATTCCAGCAGTGAGGGCTTTCTGTATCTGATTGCCTGGAGTTAAGCTACTGTTTTCAGTGTATCTGCAGTTCTTCTAGCTAGTGGTATTGGTTCCAGCGCTTGAATTTAAGTAAAAAAACCTTGGAAAATGTTGACTGTATTTAAAGAAAGAAAAGGTGAAATGCCCACTAAATTAACTTCAAATTAAAGTCCTTGAGTGAGGAATTGTATCGTATTTCTGAGCACCTGGAGTGGAAACCCATTTTCTTACTGGGTCCAATTAAGTTTTTTGGACCACTTTGGTGGGACTCACATTAATTTATGCTTGTAATCTAGTGATATTGTGAAAAGAAATCGCATGGCAGCGAATTGTCTGAAATGAGGTTGGGGTTCGTATCTGGTCTGAACTTTGGCATTGTTTCTTGATGTATCCAATTAATTCGTACAATAACAAGTATAGTGGGTGTCCTGTCCCTCCCAGTATCTAATTTGGAAAAAAATAGTTATGTTAAAAAGAAATAAGTTATGTAGCCAATTAGTTAGTAGCGTTGGTTTCTGTAGCATATGTGAGGCTTTGAAACCAGGGTAATAAGTTAGTGATTTTTGGCCTTGAGAAATTAGGGTGGCAAAGCATGATATATATGAATGATGAACATGTGTTGAATATGCCAGCATGAGGTTAAACTGATGGTTTATAGTTAATGTGACAAGTATGTGTGTAAACTGTGGTTAAAATAAATAGAAACTTAGAGAAGAGTGAAAGTAACCAAAGCCTCATGCTACTTTCCTTGACTTTTTTTTTTTTTTCAGCAAGGGTATGGTCCCAAAATAAGTGCCAGTATCTTGATACAAAAATTGGAGATTTAGTTTTATCAAGATCATTAATTTAGGACTTAGCTCTTAAAAGCTCTACTTGAAATCAAGGGTCCTAGAAGAAGCAGTGGAAGTGGTTGAGTTTGCTGAGCTGACGCAAACGTGGTGGTATAAACCTGTCCCTTCGGCCCGACCCGTTTGTCAGGTTTTCGGGTTTGTTTTTAAACAGGGGCATGGTCTGTATGGTGTTTTAAGATTCTTTGTACTCCTGTGTTTTACCAGTTCACATACCAATAATCATACCGTATTGCGGTATCTTAGGCATGTGTTTGAGATAAATTCAGAAATACAAGAAAAAAAATGTCATTGTCTGGTTCAAGAACTTAATTGCTTCAACTTCTGTTTTTTGGGGGGAAAAAAGTAGTTTGAGTTTCCTTATGTTATTTCTAGTTAGTATTTTGTTGTGCGAGATCTATGCCACATGAAGGTAGTGATGCTGAACAATTAACATATAAATAAATTAGCAATTATCACTAGCAAAATCCATAATTGGCTTCACCCATTTTGTCAGGTATTTCCAGTTTTTAATTAATGCTTTGCATGTTGAAACAGAGCATGTCCTTTATATTTCTGGTTTGGTTTTTTTTTTTTTATTTCAGTTGTTAAAAAGCATTGAATTGCTTGTTACTTAAGGAGAGCTTAAACTAAAAAACTTTACCTATAAATTAAACTTTTTACTGTGACTGTGGGCTTGATATGTTCTTCGTTGTGTGAAGGGGGATAGGCAAATGCTAGCCAGTATTGTGCTCATTTAAGACCATGTCATTTATTTGCTTCTGTCCAGCTGCATATCATACTTTATTGCCTCTTAAAGGTGTTATTTTTGAAATTGATCCACAAATATTTTAATATACAGATCTATAGTTTCTAAAGTACTTCATTAAAGTTTGACTATTCCATTTGCTAGATATTGAAATAACTTTTGATGCGAGCAAATTTTTAGAGGAATCCAATTTTTTAAGGAAATAGGTAATTATTTTTGTGCATAAGAATCCTGTGGTATGTATTCTCCATATTGCCTGGTCTTGCACTTCTCCCTCTTGCTCCAGAAAGGCTTGAAATCACTTTTGAATCTTTTCTCCTTAAACTGTAAATCAATTTTCAGCAGCAGATTTTAGGCTTCGAATAGCATCCACAACATAAATTTTGTGCATAACGGAAGAATTTTACGTTAGTGTCCTCTTGCATGGATGGTATCTATAGCTTTTAAAGAAGGAATTTTAAATTAATTCCAATTAAATAACTATGGAATGGCATTTACAAAGGCATAAGCTACATGATACATAAGGGAGATGCTAAATATAACTACTAAGCAGTAGTATTTGTTTGAAACTACGGTTGTAAATTAGAGCAACAAGAACACCAGCTTTCATTTGTGTGCTCTGAAATGTAAATTGGTCAAATTATGAACTCTGGTTATTTGAAATTGTTACCCCCCCCTTCTGCATTCCCCTTCCTTCCCCTCTCCAGCTAAATGGCCTTAAAATGGCAGATGAGCCTATGGAAGAAGGTGAACCATATTCCTACCACGTAAGTATATTTGATGATGTTCAGTTTAGACACTCATTAGCATGAGTTCCTTTTGAAGCAAAATTTATGCATTCTCTGCTCTTTAATAACTTTTGAACCTCTCATTTTATTTGACGAGATCTGAAGAGGCTCTAACTCTCAAAGATGATTTTTGAAAATTAGTACCTGGGTAGGGGCCGTAAATGCCTTGTTTGGGAAAGTTTGCCACACGAGGCAGGGCTTTATGGAAAACAGGTTCTGTGTGCTGCAGAGAGCATTTACAGATCCATCGACTTCGGAACATGCTCAATCCAGCCTTGAAGCTTTTATGCACGATGTGCTTAATGTTGCTTTTAGTACGCTGTCATCTGTTCTTCCTTTGTATTTTTTAATGTAGTTGCTGTACGTTCATCTAGAAGGTATTTAATTCCTGCTATTTTAGAACAGAATTAAGTTTTACACCAGTATGTTAATTTGACTTTTATGTAGAAATATCCCAGGTAAACCCTGTTGGGCATGATTTTTGTCCAGCGCCTTGGCCATGTGCACATGTAGGAGATGCTGAAGATCAGTGTTCTGTATGCTGGCTAAATCTTGGACTCAACTTCAGGCTAATTCCAGGTGAAATGCCTGACTTTGCATGGAAAAATTGGCCATCATTTTTCAACACACACATCTGTATATTTTTGAACAGGATCATAGAAGAAGGTATCAAGTAGATCTTGTTGCCAGCTGTAACTATGGCTTTGTATTGCAATAATAACTTTTTAAGTAATAACTTTTTTAAATGATTTGGAGAATAAACTCTTGGGGGTAGAAACACTGTGCTTGGACGCTTTCTGGTGTGGAGCAAGTAAATAAACGGTCAGTGTCATAGTCATCTTACACGTAGCAAAGAAAGATGAGCAATGGGTTGTCTCAATCCTTCACTGTGCTTGAACCAGAAGGATGTTGCTGAGCTAGTTTGATACGTGCTGGGAGCTACATACCAGTCAAGCTGAAACGAAGTAAGATGGCACAAAGCCATAACCGATTGCAGCATTTCTTTCAGTGCTTTGTCTTCTGTTGAACCTGCTGGGAATAGTTACCTCTTTTGCAAGGCGACTCAGTTGGGAGCTGCTACCTGAGCCCTGAAATAGATTTGCTGCTCGAGCAGCAGAGCACAAAATCAGATAACGAAATTTGCAGTTCATGGAGGCCAAACTAGAAATGAAAATGAAACTGGCTTATATATCTGTTCAGCTCTTTACCTGCTCATTTCTTGTGGATGATGCAGAGGTCTTTTTATACTTCAGTCATGCCAATTTTAGTACTTTAATGATAGTTAAGTAGGTGAAATTATATAGACATCTGCTGTGAAGGTAAAACACTCTATAAAAAAAAATAACTCATTTCATACATCTCAAGTTGTTCTTTATTTGCATGGAAAACATTTTTTCTCCTCGGTTCACATTTAGAAATACTCTGTCAGTCTCCGCAGCAACACATGTGATGTCACAGGCTAATGACTCGAGGTGGGTGATACGCAGAAGCGCAGATGAACTCCTAAGGATCTTTTCTCAGGCAAAGGTTCGCAGTGTTAAGGAATACAAATTAGGATGTTCAAGTAAAAAGGCTTCTAAATAGAGTATTTGCATATTTCATAGAAAGAACCAGCCATTAAGTCTGTTGTACAACTTGGTGTATAACTAGAGGAATAGCTGCTTTCATCTGTCGTCAGATGACTTGAAATTGCACTGTTCTTACCTGCCTTAAATTCCAGGCATGTGTTTAAAAAAAAGTAAATAAAAAATGAAAAGATAAGTGCACCTTTCCTATGAATATGTATATGGATAGTCAAGGAGATGGATGGATGAAATGAAGTTAGGTTGTATACACTGTATCGTCAGTGTATGTCAGCTGTTTTTCTGTGAAGAAAGAGGGAAATAAAGTAGCTTAGAGTGTGAATTAAATAATTAACTTTGTTACCCAGCAGTGTCTTGTGTTAATACCTACCTTGGGGTGGGAAGCAGGCAGAACAAACAGGCCTTTTCCAGAAAGAGTATGAAATACGAGATGTAGGGAGGGGAAAGGACTCATGCAATAACAGCTAGACTACAGTTTGTGAATGTAGTAAGATGTTAGTTTGAACGCTTTCGTTCCCCCTCTGGACAAACAAAGCAATTAAGGCACAGACAGATAATGCAGTGTGACAATTGCCTTTTTTTTTTTTTTTTTTAATTATTGCAGTAAGTACGTACACATTTAGATGGTCAGATTTCTACCCTGAATTTCTGTGTAACCACACCTAGAGAATTTATACGTCTGTATCAAGTCTGATAACACTGATTATACGTTTTAACGCGTGTCTTGGGCAGCAAGACTTTCTGTGGTCAACCTGACTACAGAATGATGTTCTTTCCTAAAACCAACTGTTTCATCAAGCGGTCAGGTCTTTTTCTGGTGGTGTTCGTACTTGTCATTGAGGGAGAGCAAGGCACCGTAGGCTGGTTGGGTGTTTTTCTGGTCCCTACTAAGCAAAGCTTTCAAGGTGAAGATCTAAAGAGAGGCTAGGAGGACAGTTAATAACCGTTTGGATACCCAAAGACATCAAAGTACTGGAAATCACATGGGCTTTTCTGTTGTGATTGGCTTGGATTTGCAGCGTGCAAGAAATTAATTGGTATTCTTGACAGGGCTGAGGGGTGCCGCTCCTTTTGTATGTGTAAGCTGAGGTTGCTGTTGTAGGCCTTAGCACGTAGTTTGTAGTTTCAGGGGTGCTTATTTTGACACCTCACTTGCTTTGGCTCACAGAAACTTCTCTTGCACCATAAAAGCTGCAATACATCATCTGATTTGTTTTCATCATGAATGTTTGTCTTTTCACAATTGTAGCTGCTGTGCCCTGCTTTGCTAAAGATGAGAGTAACAGGAAAAAATCAACACAACGCGAAATCTTTCACCTACCTCAGAATTACCCTCAGCTTTCTGAAGGAGGTCTCTATGCAGGATAGTCTTTCCATGAGCTCTGCACCCTAGAGCTGTGTTTCTTCTGTTGGATGCAAGAATTCAGAGTTCTTAAGATGACTCATATCTTATGCTCTTCAAACGACGCATGTTCCTTTAGCTACAACTGGATGACCATATTTATTATTTGCTGCTGTGAAAAGCAATAATTACCTAAAATGATTAAATTCAATTTAGCTTTCATTAAGACTATTTCGGGAAAGGGAAAGATGAGAAGAGTAATCACTGGGAAAAGTAAAGGCTGGTAAAACAGAGGTGAAGCACAGAAGGATCATCTTAGACTTGGTTTAAAAATCTGTGTATTTATTCCTTTCATGTCAGAAAATCTGTCTTTGCTGTAGTTGTAATATTTATGACAAAAGGAAATGAGCATTCTTTGAGAATTTTATTTCAGTTTAGAAATTTTAGATGCATTTATTTAAGAAAGGATGGATGGGAAAACTCTTCATTTCTTTTATGCCTTATTAGAATTTCAAATGTTTTATAAAAAAAAAAAGGCAAGAAAAGAGCAGGCATTTACATGCACTCTAACGAGGGTTGCTTAATTCAGGCCTGTTCATTGTTGTATTTTTGTTTGCCTTGAAATAATAGGATGAAGGAAGTGTGAAAGAAATTCCTATTACACACCATGTGAAAGAAGGATGTGAGAAAGCAGATCCAGCACAGTTTGAACTACTTAAGGTTCTTGGACAGGGATCATTTGGAAAGGTAAGATAACAAATGTTGTTTTCATCTGTCCGCTTAGAACCTGCTTTGTCTTGTTAATGTTTTACTTCCCTGATTTCTGCAATACTACAAGGTTAGGTATAAACCTAACAAATCTGAGTACAGGTAGATATGCCAGTGGGAATTGCCCTGTTCTGGAGGAAGCTATCCATCCTGTTTTGCAGTTGGTTGATGAGGAGGGGTTGTGTTTGTTTTTACTATGATAGCCTTTTCTGACTTCACATTTTTTTAGAGGGAAAGCGATGTCTGTCTCCATAGACCTGTCCAGGCAGTCGGCCTGGGAAGGGTTAGCTCAAGTACAGTTTTGGTTAAGAAAGACAGTGCTGTAGCAGAGTCGCTGGGAAGGTTTGAAGTGTTATTGACAAATTTCACCTCTTTCCAATCTTGCTCCGGTGCCAAGGGAGCACTGTTTATAGCAGGACACCAAATCATACCAGAGAGAGGGAGGCCACAGCCTCAGTCTCTAGGCAGAAGGGTGAGTCAGGAGCAAATTCTAGGAGGTCTGCCGTGGGAAGTTATGGATTGCTTTAACTGAAGAGAGACATGTTTGTAGTTCATCTGGACAAGCATCTGCAGCTTCAGGGGAACCATGGCACCAACAGCAAACCCCCAGTTGGGGGTTATAGAGTCAGGGGTGGTTTTTATGCAACAGCTCTGGTGTTGTCAAGCTCTGTTTGCCTAACGCCATGGCTGTTTGAGATGAAATAATAGTGTTTTCCACTGCCTCAAGACTTTATTGGAGCATCTGGTGAGGAATCGGAATGTCCCATATAGGCTGCCTCGCATCTTCTGTAGTTTAGGTTGGTGCTTGGGAGGCAGTAGCGGTGTAATAGACATTGATAGACATTTACGGAGGAGGCGGGGATCGGTCTTCCAGTGATGGTGCTTGACATGCTGTGACTGTTTGACTTTTTTCCGTGTATGAAATCTGTAGTGATGTAGATACAGAGGAATGATTGTGGTAGTTTGGAACTTGAAACAATGTAACAATCAAGTAAATAACCTGTGAAATGTATTTCAGGGTTTTTTTTATTTTGCTGTATTTGTCAAGTGATCTACAGCTAAAAGACACTAAGTGAACAATTATTCAAATAGGTTATAGAAGAAATACAGCAATTTTTCTGTTAAAATAATTTATTTTTGTAATGTGCCACTTGGTGTCGCATTGCAGAAATGAAATTAAAAATCAAATGTCTCAGTCACTAGTTCGAAACACATTAATTGAAATATTAATCCTAGTGTGTAAGAAGCTGATTTATTTTTTAAAACCAGACTCTTAAACTAGATCTTTTGCAACACATGAAGAATAAACAGTCAGCTTTACATATCTTTCTGTTTTCCTGTTCTTGTGCTAGTTTTGTCTGTCTCATGGCAGGAGCGAACCTTTGCAGGGAGCTGTATGAGAGGAGGGAAAAAAAATTCGGCATTAGGAAGGCATTCTGTCAATAAGCGATAGTTTAGAAAATAGACTTTATTTCTTAATGTTTTACGGCTTAAGAAACATTTCTTTATCTGGTGACATGGGTTGCCAATTCCCTCATACGCTTCTCGTCTTCAGAGACTAAAAGGCTCCATGCATTTATTACTCCTGACTGGAGATGTCTTAAGCTATCTGAGGGTTCAGCACATCTGGTAGGGACCTCTTAGCCCTGACTCAGCCTGATTCTTGCTTCACAGAGTTCAGCCTTCTGATGGCGCAAGGAACGCTCTTGCTCAGAGTCCCGCCAGCTTGGTGAGGCGTCTCCTTTAGAGCTTTTGAAACCTGGAAGTGCTTGGTTCAGGAACCAGCTTTGCGAACTGGACGGTAGCTGTTGCACATCTGAACAGAGCTCATTTTATCTAGCATTTGTTGCTTTCTATTGAAAAGAGAAAACAAACAACGAAGATCAATGGCTGCTGCCTTCATGGTGTTTTTCTCTCTCCAGTTCATACTTCCCAGGGATCTCCCTTTGGGTTTAGCAAACACAAGGTTTGTTTGCTTTGGCTGGTATAGTGCTACAGCCCATCCTCTACCTGTCTTTTTCAGCATCTGGGCAGGATTTAACACTGCTTCACAGAAATACAGGGTTAAACCTCGTGTCTGTTACTGAGTTCCTTCAGCCTTTGATAATGTTCTGAGGCTTCAGCGCTCGGGCTGCTGAAGATGGCCTTCGATTCGCGTAGGTGAATCGCTTTGCACAATATGTGCCCATCTTGATTGTGCTTTACAATTGACAACCGATTGTCGCATCTCTGCAAGATGCGGGGTTACGGAGACTTTGTCTGCAAATTAAAGAGATGGTGCTTGAGTAGTTTCCACAGCGGCAGCTCATTCGGTCCTTCTTAGATAGAATTTGTAATTTGTATTCCCTTACATTGTCACAAGCTGCTGGTTGTTAAGCACTAAAATATTTGTATATGCTTATTAATATTTTGCTTTTGTAATTGTGAGTGTATTAATCTACAGATGTTTTCTTGTTCGCTGGTGTTTGACTTACTCCCTTTACTATTTGAGCATCAATATCATATAATAGGAGAGCAGTGCTGTAGGCCAGTCATTGGGCAAAACTTAAATAAAACAAAAAGCCCCATAACCTTGAAACGTCACGACATTTTTCATCTAACCAGAAATTAAAACAAAAGCAACCCCTTTCCCAACCCTGTACAACTTAGTGACAGTGTATGAATTTCTGATTCTAGAATGGAAAAGTTGACAAGGTTGGTTGATTATTTTTTTTTTTAATAATTTCTAAATATTTAGTGATTTCTAACAAAGTATATATGTAAAAATCTAGTGTTAATGAAAATCTGAATAAGGTAAGATCAATTTCGGTTAGCTCTTGCCATTCTCTTGTGACTTGTACTTTTTTTTTTTTACAGTACAAACATTCCTTATAACTAATAGTTGCTGTTATAAGGACAACAACTTGGAAACAGGAGCATGTACCAAACAGTTTTGTAAACTGAAAGACCTAGTATTTAGAATATTAGTCAGTAGAGGTACATGTATTTGTACTGCATTATTCTATCTAATATGCTTTTCTTAGTGTCAAGTTATATACCATCTATCTTTAAAACTCCTCTGGAGAGAAAAGAGTAGAAAAACCTGTTGGAGTTGCTATTCCAGAGGGAAAGGGTGCTTTGATATTAAATGGTGAGGTTTCCTTGCTTTCGTCTCGCCACTCTTAGAGAATTCATTAATATAGCCTGTTGCGTGTTTGAGGCTTGGGTCTTAAACCTCAGACGTCTCTTAGGAGGTGGCAGAGCGGGCAGAATTGTCATCCTCCAAGAAAGTAACATAAAGAAACACATTTATATAAGTACTTGATAAGTACTTATCAATAAGTTCTTATTTAAATGGCTTGGTATAGGAAAGAATGTATAGTTTATGATGAATTTGAATACTTCAGAGCGCTTGGTGGCGTGTGTACCTCTAGTCTGATTAAGGGAATGCAGTTTTGCCCTTGCTTTAAAGATGTGTACTTAGGGAAGCACGCTGAAAGCTATCGGACATTAATAGGAGGTTTGTAAATACTTTGTGATAGTTGCTTATTCGATTACTAAGCTTGCTTATGCAAAAAGACCAGCTATGAATATCTGGCATCTTTTCATTCCTCGGAGTTTTTGCGGAATGGGATGGCACTAGGGACATGCTGTCTCCTTGTCTATATTAATGAAGTTAAAAGTAAAGACGTAGTAATGGTTTTTAGTCAGGTTTACATAATATACTTCTAGCAGTAATTTTAAAAGTGCTGTTTATATTACCAGGTCTTCCTTGTACGGAAAATAATGGGTCCTGATGCTGGGCAACTTTATGCAATGAAAGTATTGAAAAAAGCTTCTTTAAAAGGTACGTGTATCTTTTGAATTGGAACTTTAGAAAATTATTTTCAGTGCAACTGTATCTCTTAAATGAGTCTTGTAAATATGTCTTATTGAAATATTTTTTTAAATCTTAAATCATTTTCAGTGAGTTCATAACTCTTCTCTGACAGTAGCTTTTTTGTAGAATAACTTGTAAGTTCATGTTTAAGAATTATTTTAAATCTGGCCAGATAACTTTACGTGGTAAAAAGTACTCTTTCAGAGTTTAAAATCGCATTATTTAATTCTGTTTAGTGTTTTCATTATATTAAAACAAATTAATTTCATAAACAATTTTCCTTTTTTCTGTCATTAAGTTAGAGCTCTACTATGGTTAAAAATGTTAAGTCATTCCCTCTTGCTCTAGGTGCCATAGCAAGCGAACTTACTGCTTTGGCTTTCAGAAGACACTTTAGTGGGTGCAACTCCAGTATATGTAAATAGGGACTGTTACTAGTTGAAGAGGAAAAAGTGATCTTAAAAGACAGAAAATATATTCAGTACAGACAGTTAATTCAGAGGTTGAAGTTAGCTGCCTGGAAGTGTAGATGTGACCTTCTTTCTTGAAAGTAATATAGTTTATCACAAAATACTGGGATGTGTTGGAAAAAAAAATGTAAACATTAAGGAAGCTGGGGCAGGTAAGGAACAAAAGGGAGTTTTGCTCTCCAAAAGCATGTGTTTTGTGGGAGACTTAAAAATTAAAACCAAACAAAGGCTTTCCATATGCTAATTTCTGTTCCGTGTGTATTATACCAAATACATTTGTTTCATACCAGTCTTTTTTCTTTTTCTTTTTTTTCCTCAGTTCGGGATAGAGTTCGTACAAAAATGGAGAGAGATATATTAGTAGAAGTAAATCATCCATTTATCGTCAAACTGCACTATGGTTGGTATTTTTTTTGCTACAATTTCTTTCAATAGTTGAAGGCATAAATGATCTTGTTCTTTCTCAGTTTTGTAGTGTCCGTTTTAGTGCCCAGATTAGGTTCTTGCAAGTTTAAATTGCAAGACTAAAAAAAAGGAATGTAAATACACATGTATATAGAAGTTTTAGATTAAGTCTTTTTGAAATTAAAGATTTCCTGGAAAATTCTTACAAGTTCTGCAGAGATTTTTTTACTTTTCATTGAGTAAAACCAAAACATAGTAATTCACACACTTGGTGTTTCCCTGTTTGACAAAGGGGAAATAAAAGAACAGTATTTTAATGATCTTATGACTAAGATCGTCTTCTGTGAAGAAGCAAGTAATCGTTCAATAAATTACCTCATGTGCTGCTGCATTATTTCAGTTCCAAAACAAAAGTATTGCCTTTCACTGAAATTTCCAAGTTGTAAAAGCATTCAGATCTGTTTTGTAGATCATCTTTGTCACACAACTATTGATTTTTTTTTTAACTTTTTTTAAAGCCTTTCAGACTGAAGGGAAGCTATATTTAATATTGGATTTTCTCAGGGGAGGAGATGTATTCACGCGATTATCCAAAGAGGTAAGTACCTAAAATTTTATCTCCACTTAGTGTTAGATGTTTTTTTTTGTCAGTAGAGAGTTGTCTTCTATTGCTGTTTCCCTCATAATTCTTGTCATCGTCAAGTTTTTAATAACTTAGCTGGGCTTCCCTTACATATTCTAGAATATATTCTATAACCTTAAGAAACATGAATGTGTGTTGATTAGTAGCCTGTGTTTTTCTTTGGTATCTACAAAGGACAGTTCTTTTGTCTAAAAATGTTTTGTTGCTTGGAAACCTAACTGAAGTAAGTTAAGATTTAGCAATAAAGAAGGGGAATGTATAGTTCTCATGCTCATAGTTAGCCTAGGTGCTCCTGGAAGCCAGCATCTGTAAGAGGTTTCTGCTGCATTGTAAAATTTCGTGATGCTGTAATACAAATCCTAATGCTTAACCTCACAAAGTGTGACCATTGAGGTTTCTTGAGACCACTCCCCTTCATCTAACATTGGCATGCAACTGGAACTTAAATTTTTCTTTTCTATTTTTGTTTTCTGGAGAGAGAGCTTCAGAGGAAGCAATATGATGCAGCCTGTTATTATTTTTTAAAACATTTGTCATCTAATATTTATCATATGTTGTCTTAAGTATTATGAACATGTTTATAAGACTTTTATTTTCTTCCTGCAAACCTTTAAGATCTAAAAATTTTAATGGCAATTTCTCAACAACTTCACACTAAGAGAGCTTTTCAGTGTTCTCACCAGTGCAAATACATTCATATTGCTAATGCATAGGAAAAGCCACTTTCTTAAATGAGAAAACTGAGTATCTGACTGATTTCTCATGACGTGAAGGAGGTGGTTGTGTCCCCAGTATGTAAGGCCATGAACTAGTTGGGTTTTTTTCCCCCATATACTTTTTGAAAAAAATAAAGCTTTACTTTAGGAACAGGCAAAAGAGAAGGAAGAGTTTTAAAGTTGTGGGGTTTTGTTTTTGTTTTTATAAAAAGCTGACCTTGGTAAAACAGTGATCGTGTCTAAGAATTGAGCTCAAAATTAATTAACCTTGAGGCTAAAACGGAGGTTAAAAGCTTAAACAAGCCAACGAACTCGTAAAGGGTTATTGGAACAGTAGGTAGGAAAGAGGTCAATCTCTGCTTTGATAGAGGATGTCTAATTATAGAGGAAATTCTGGTATAGCAGGAAGAACTATTCTTTTGCGCTAGCACAGCTGGGATTACCGAGTGTGCAGTGTTCTTAAATAAGGGATGCAAGTCTATCCAAATTAATATTAGCTAGGTTGTTGAAACAGGTATGTATTCCCTTTGGGAATAAAGAAGTAATAATTGTAAAGTTTTCTTACTGTTAAGTTTCTACGTGTTTTTTGTAAGACTTCAGTTACCTTCTGTGATGGCTTTTAAACACTTATTGTGTATATAGATAAGAAAAAATCAGGCCTTCTTATTTTCTGGTGAGAAGACGATATTTTCAAAAGTACATGGTAAAACAAGGACAGTGGACAATACACAGGGTAAATTCCCCATGGCATTTCATGCTTCCCTCACAAGGATTATTTTAAATTAATTGGTTTTAGTATGAGGTTATTAAAACACTTTGGTTGGTCTTTAAATTCTAATGTGGTTATGAGAGTTCCAGCTGTGGAAGTGAAATGAGTATATAATGAAGTTTTCATTGGTAACATTTAATGAAGTTGACTTGCATCGTGTTTAATTAACACAAAAAGCAGTTTTAAATGAAATTATTATTGGGAGATTGTAGATTACTATTGAGCATCATTGTATTCTGAGATTTGCATTTTGGCTGCTCCATGGAGTAATGATATCCAAGGCCTCCTCCTGCTCTTTTGGATATAGATGAAAACCAGTATCAACATTGCTCTTTAAAAAAAAATCAAGGTGAAACTTTGTGTAGCGTAACAGCTTTATTGTTCATACAACGTTAATACCTAACATTATGGAAATCAGGAATATTTCTGTTGTCAGAAGAGCAGATTACGTATGTGCAATTCGAAGCACAGATCAGCGTACTACTAAATCAGTAAGCCCAGTTACCTTAATTTAAGTCTTGTTAGCTGTCTGCCGTGCAGTTGAGGTGGCTGTTCTCCTTGTTCCTGGCGTTTGCAACAAATAAGGGAATAGTTCACTTAAACCTCAAATTCAGTTCCGGTAATTTAAAGACTACTAGCTTCTCCAGTAATTTGTAGAACATGATAAGAGGCAGAGCAGGTATGATTCTTGTATATGAAATTAGAAGCAACCTGTTGAGTATTTAGGCTAGAAAAGCATCTCTCAAGTGCTCTATATGCAATGTCAGTCAGTTTTTCAGTATCTCACTAGGGTTCTTCAAATCCCCTTTCCTAAGAAGACCAGAGTAGGTTCTTCAACTCCCGCTGCAGATTTTCACGTCATTATTTTCACCAAAGTGTTTTATTTTGCATAATTTTTTCTAAATTATTTCTATTTTTTTTCCTAAATATTAATGTGAGGTCATAGAGACAGACACCCAGTATAGCAGTCATATACTAAATTTTATGATGCAGTGGAAAACAGTCTGTATGGGATTGTGGCAGAAGGAGTGCTGGTGATCAGTAACACCGAATATAGCAATTAAATTTATTACCTTAAAAGTTAGCTAATGCTCTGCAGGAACTGCTGATGTTTTTGTTTAAGTATTGCAGGTAGTTCTTTTGCATAGTTGATGATTAGCCTATATTAGTATATCGTTTCTGTTAGGTGAATTCATGAATTACGAGTTCATAAGGTACTTCTAAAACTTATTTTGAAATTTAGGCAGACAGGACTATTTTTTTTAGATTGCAGTTTTAAAAACTGAAGACAAGATCAGAAGGTAAATCTATACAGTTCTTATTAGGTTATGTTTACAGAGGAAGATGTGAAATTCTACCTCGCAGAACTGGCCCTTGCTTTGGATCACCTTCACAGCTTGGGAATTGTATACAGGGACCTGAAGCCAGAAAAGTAAAGTAAAATGTATTTTACCACTATTATGTGTATTTTGCTTGTTGCTTTGCATTTTCCACTATAGTGATGCAAAAAATTAAAAATATTTTTGTTAGACTATGTAAACAAACATAAAATGTAAAAAATAGATCTGTGATTTACATGAAATAGTATTGACTTGTTAAATTAATAACTGAAGTTGGAGATCAAAATTGTTAACTGTTATATTTTAAATGTTATATGTAAACATTCCTCTTTATGTGTATTGGTGAATGTGAATTTTAATTTTCAGCATTTTGCTTGATGAAGCAGGACATATCAAGTTAACAGGTAGGTAACACTTATTAGTATAGCACTTTCTGAACATATTTCTGTATAAGCTTTTCATTATAAGCCTAAGATATGTATAGTGATGGCTGGAGTACGTGTGAGCCAGTATTTAGCTGTTTAGAAATTTTTTTTAGTGGAAAGACTTTTTATAATAAATCTGTATCCCTTCCCTATATAATGATTCTTCATATAGTATTAAGTACTTTTATTGAAGTATTTTAGGTAGTCAGAGACTGTATCTGATGGTTTTGGTCATTTACCAGATCCTGATGTCCATGCAGGTTCCACTGAAGTTAGTTTTCGTGTTGGCTAATATTTGCCGAGATCAAGTTGCAGTGTCAGCAGCAATATTAGTGTAAAGCGCAGATCCTAATTGCTGTGGTTAACATAGAAGAAATGTATTTGAAAATACAGAACCAGACGTTGAATGTGTTTTTTGAAGGAGCTTTAGGTGGTGGTGGGTTAGTAACTAAAACTATCTACTGTTCAGGTTAGAAAGTGAGCCTGTATCAAGATTTACTGAGAAATGCCTTTTAACTGGAGAGCAAGAGGTTATAGACCCGGGCTAAAGTTGCTGATTGTGAGACTTTTAAAAGGGAGCAGAGGTGCTTCTGGTGTAAAGAGATTTTAGTGCACAATAAGACTTCTGAAATACTTTTTTTTTTTTTTTTCTTTTGCATTTCTGGATTATCACTTTTAAATGGATATAAAATTGCAGAAAAATGTTCTATGAGGAACAATTAAAATGTATGTTCTAGGAAGTGATATATACAAAAGACTGTCTATTTGGAAACCAAATTATTATGAATTTCTGAAAGCTTTAAATCACATTTAAGGTGATGCTTTTCTATTATAAATTTAATTCTATATTTTGATCTATAGATATGGCTATTAGATTCCAAGAGAAAATGAAGTTTTTTAAACTCTCAAAGACTTGTTGGAATAATGGTGATGGAAATCATGTTTCTAAAATGCATAATTCTTATAATTCTGCATGATATATTTAAATCCAATTCAGTCCTAAAATTCTCGGTTCCTTCTGAAACTGGAAAGGAATAATTGATGGGATTATTGATTAGCAATCATTTCCCCTTTGAAAAAAGGGACGCTTGGGAGCCTCGTCTTGAGAGCGGAGCTGATATCAAGGACTTGCGTATTTAGTGGCATTGTTCAAAGTAGGAGGAAAAAAGTATTCTGGGAATAAAGTGAGCAGATATGCAAGACTCCTGAACTTGAATCGGGTTGCAGAACCATGTTGTCTTATATAACAACAATATTTTTAGTCTGATTTTATTTATTCATCATTCGGTAATACTAGACCACGCAGACTGTGTTCTCTTTGAAACTCATTTTTACTTCTATCCAATTTTTTGTGTGAATAAAGCAGGCAGTAAACAATCAAAAGTTCTCATTTTGTCTATCTTAAGGCTCTAAATGTGTAATATATCAAATATTGACTTGTCATTATTTTGAGTAGTAATATTGATGGTTAATCATCATTTAATATGACTTATAGAATGGTTTTGGTGGTATGTAGTAAACTAAATGTCTGTGGTATCTCTAGATATCTGCAGTTTCTTGTGTCATGAAGAGCTAGGATAATCCCATAATATTCCTGAAATCAAGCAAACAAAAGCTGTCAACGCTTTGATTTTGAAATACCGTTTACAGTATTGTTTTTGTTTTTTTTTTTTTTTTCTGAAGTTCTTTACTGGCTGTATTCTTGTAATGCTGTTGTTGTAGACTTTGGACTCAGCAAAGAATCAGTAGATCAAGAGAAGAAGGCCTATTCTTTCTGTGGTACTGTAGAATACATGGCACCTGAAGTAGTAAACAGGCGAGGGCACAACCAGAGTGCTGACTGGTGGTCCTTTGGTGTTCTCATGGTACTGTATGCTTCCTTGCTTTCCTTGCTTACAGGTCACAAATACACTGCCTATGTCTAACGTGAACTAAAGTGTTTAGAATAAGCTTGTCCAGATCTAATTATGAATGCTTGAGTAAGGGGAAGAGAATTCAATAACTGAATTGCTACTGAAATAGCAACTAATTTGAATAAAACTTACCTTGCACCTGCTTACCCCTGTGAGGAGTACTTATCAGGAACCACAGAAATCGTACATATAGTCCATTAGTAGTTTAGAACAGTTGTAGTCAGTGCGAAACTGGAGTTTGTATATTTATTTTGCATGGTTCTTGATAGTTAAAGAAAAAAACCTGAAGACTTGGTTTGATGGAATATTAATTGCCTTTTTGTAAGAGTAAGCCTGTTGAATGAATACTGGAGCGGAGCAGTGAAATCAGACAGTACCTGCTAGCACTTACGCCTTTGCTGTGACGGGTTAGAGCATCGGGCCGAAATACGCATATTGCCATTAAAAGTAAAGTACTGTTTTAGGATTTATTCTTCCTGCTGTTTTCATGGTACAGCAGCATCTAAAACTAGGTTATGGAAGGGATTTTTATTACTTTTAATTAAAGTAGCTTACGGATGTAAAATATTCCTACATCATCATTACATGACGCTTGCCACTTATTATCATGTAAACTGCCAATGAAAACAAAATATTAGATTTGTGAACTTTTTTTGATAATCTTTTAAAAGCTCAAGCCAGTGTGCTTAAGGTAGCAATAGGGAAGAGTACAGTACTTAACGCTTTGTTTGAGCAGTTGGGGGAAGAAGTGTTGATTTAGATTAACATTTGTTCTTTTCAGTTTGAAATGCTTACTGGTACACTACCATTTCAAGGTAAAGATCGAAATGAAACTATGAATATGATACTGAAGTAAGTATATCTTCTTACTTTTTGGAAAGTCAGAAAACGTAATTTTTAAACGTGTTTTAACAGCTTGTTATAATTCCGTGTGCTTGAAGAGCATTAAGCTAGAACAGGAACAAAAAAGCTGAGCCCCCCATCCCAACAGGGTTTAGATCACGGACCATGCAAATACTGTTAAGTATCTGCAGGAATTAAAATCTTAGGGATGAACTTGTATTTTCATTATAGGTGTGTAATGAAGATAAAAACAGTACAGTGAATTAGAACAGCATTATTTACCACTCATGTGGTTATGCTCCCTTGCTACTGTTACAGCATACCTTATTTTGTAAGCTATAGTTCATTAGGTGTTGCTTTGTGTACGTATATATGGAGAGTGCACTTACGTGCTCACATCTTTCATATTCAATTACCCCAGTTACAACAGAAGTTGTCTAACAGGACAAACTGGGTAAACTGGTGATTAGTAAGTGAAGTTGTTGGGCAAATGTTCTCATCTTTGTGCTTAGCTAACAAAGATTTTTCCTTTAGACCATGTGCAGAGCCTTGGGCCTTTTGAGGGAGCGATAGTCAGGGAAGGGGATGAGAGAAGCTCCGTTCTTAACGACATGCGGCAGTTTGAACTTACCCTGAGCATGAGCTTATAGTGATACCGCCTGTGAAAGCGGATGGATTTGATCACTGGCCTCACTTGGAGCTCTAAGTGATACTACAGTTCTGCAGAAGAATTTCTTGCCTTAGCGTGGCTGTTTTCATAAAATAAGCTTGGTAAAGTCAGTAAGCTTTTATATAATGGCTTAATGAGTTCCTTCTTGAGGCTCTTGCTTCAAGAGGAATATTAACAATCACTTCAGGGGTAAGTAATTTGGGATTTGGTGAATCTCTCCTGGCATTGATTCTGGTAGAAGTACTTTGGTGATCACTTACTGGTGACGTGAAGATATCTTTGAAAATACTGTGTATTCCTGAGATAATTGTTTTACTCTATTTTAGCCTAAAGCTTGTTCTGGGGGCTTGGGTGGGGGTTGGGATTTTTCGTATGGTATGGTGGGTTTTTTTGTTTGTTTGAGTTTTTTCATTTTTTGAAAACCACTCGTATAATGTGAAACTTAAAAGCTGATGAGTTAAATGTGTACACTCTACAAGACTTTGGAATAGATCCTCGATACATCAAATTGTGCAATGAAGTCTATGTAGACAATTTTTGGTAAGATACATTTCTTCCTCTTACTTGTTCTCTGTTTTCCTTTAGAGCAAAACTTGGAATGCCTCAGTTCCTCAGCCCTGAAGCACAAAGTCTTCTGAGGATGTTGTTTAAAAGGAACCCATCAAATAGATTAGGTTGGTTCATTTATTTGGATCTTTGAAATAAAAGTAGTTGGGTTGAGTTGACTGTTTAAGGAAAGTAGTTACTAGAGACTCTGAAGCTCCGGATGGTCAGTAAGATTTGGGTTTAGATACCATTTCTTGTTAGCTTGGATCATGACTTCCTGGGTTTGGCTAATGAACGATTACTTTCTTGGACCAATCACTCCTAGCAGTGAGCCAAACCTTTGACAGTGTCAGAGCAAAGAATATCAACAGTCGTATTTGTGGCTGACTGGTACTCTGTTTGAGGCCCTGATGAGGCGTACCCTACTTAATTGAGTATTTTACATCCTTGGAATATTTCTGTATTTACAATTCCTTCAAATAACTGTGTCTATGCAAAATTTTTAGAAATGAGCTAATTTTTAGTGCAATCTTCTTCAAAGACTTTGCCCAAAAGTGTTTTAAATACAGTATTTTCTTTGTTCAGGAGCTGGTTCAGATGGAGTTGAAGAAATCAAGAGACATCCTTTTTTTTCTACTGTTGACTGGAATGTAAGTGCAAAATTATCTGAATGATAACTGTTTTTAATTTTCCTATATGTTGTAGCATTATAAGTGTTTGCATCTCAATAGGGCACAATAAACACTGCAGTACTGCTGACTGTTACATTCTGGCTTCTACTATAATCTTACTTGGCATCTGGAGCTGTAGTATTTATCGTATAGAGAGTATTAATTATAAATTGAACATTTACTTTTTAAATAATTAAGAGTTGCAACATTCTAAAGCTTAAATTGTCCATTAGAGCATTTGTAGTTGGGAGAGGATGCTGGTGTTCCCTGCGTGCAAGAATCCTTCTCTTCAGTAAGTGTCCGTCTAGTGCTTCCATGCAGGGCACAGAAACTCACTGTGACTGTAGTTCTCCGACTTCTCTCTAGTTAGCCACAGCACGTTCCTCTTTTATCAGTCATATTCCATTCACAGTTGAAGTATTGACTCTGGTGCTCTGAGATGATCAGAAGTCTGTACGAGGTCATGATTGCTTGCTTACATTTTTTAACAAGTACCTTGATGCTTTTCCTCTGCAGTTCTCTAAGCTTTTAAGATATGTTTCCTGGAAACATTCACAAAACTAAGATGCTCTATATCAAATAAATCCACTCTGAAAGCACTCCTTTGCTATAGTGGCTACAAAGGGGTAGACGCAATAAATAAGACATTGCTGTGCTGACAGGACTACCTGCAATGCTAGCCAATATTGTGCTCAGCTGTTTCTTTAAAACCTGTTGGCATTATCCTTCTCTTTCTCTCTTGTATTTACTTCTGAGATGGTGGTTTTCTAGCTGTGTTCGTGCAGCATCTACCATAGAGTCCTGATGAGCAAGTAGAGTTTTCAGTAACAGCAAAACCTCACTGTTCTATATGAGTACGCTTTGTAAGAGAAAGCTGTGTTGTTATGGCTTGATTATCTACTTTTTTTTTTTGTAAGGGACTGACATTGAAATAAATACCAGCAAGGAAGTCTGAAAGATCTGCAGTTCAAACTCTTTATTTTTTTTCTTTTTTTCCCCTAATTTTTCTTTATTTGACAGTGCTTTGTATTTATTTCAATATAGTGGTGTTGATAACCACTTCTGTATTGTATCTCTTTATTTGTTTGGGATGAATTCAGGTCCCTCTTCCTTGGTTGGTTTTTTTGCAAAAAATAGGCCTGAAAGGATGAGAGAAATGCCAAGAAAATGTTCTCAGAGCTTCCTGAACTTTGCATGGGGCTTCGATATCATTTGACATGGAATTTTCTCTTCCTTAGCTGTAAATGGGAGTTATTGCTGATTTGAGCTCACTTGGGCAATGTGTTTTTCTAAAGCGTGTTGAGTAAAGGAGGGGAAAAAAAGGAGGAGCCGTTGCTCTGCTCTCCCTTCCTTCCCTCTGACTGAGCTTAGTAGATTAGGAAAAGCCTGGAATAGATCTTTGAGAATTGGCAGTTCCTTGCCAAGAGGGACACGCCTGTCACTCGTAAGAGGTCTTTGGGACCCCAAACAGAAAGGTAAAGAATGTATTTTCTATCTTCCCTTTGGGGTGGGTTTTTCAGGGTTCTGACAAAACAGCAGTGAACCAGGTCCAAGATGATGACAGAAGGTAAGATGCACTATGGCTGTTCCATCTTCTTCTGAATAAGCCGAAGATGAACTAGTGATGAGTAGCAGCCTGCTGTTGTAGTTTTAAAAGTACAGACCTGGTAGATGAGGCAGATTGAGAAGAATAAGGAAAAAGAGCTCTGTATTGTTTGACTTGTTTGGTAATGTTTCCCGTAGCATTTCGAATCAAAGGTACATGAAAGTAACTCAGTCTCTCCGTATATGTTTGTGGTTTTCTACTTGATATATATTACTCATTCTTTCAGAAAACTGTTTTAATACAGCACTAACATTTGAGTTGCTTACCCTTTAGCTTGGCAAAATTACAGCACCCATGGAAGTTTTATCCACTCTTAATTATATGACTTTGTCCTTCTACTTTAGAAACTGTTCAGAAGAGAAATTCAACCCCCATTTAAACCTGCTTCTGGAAAGCCAGAAGATACCTTTTGTTTTGATCCAGAATTCACAGCAAAAACACCAAAAGGTAATTGTGTATGGTTATAAACTGGTGAGGTTCGTGGGAAGAGAGGGGTCAAATTAATGTTACAAGAACAAGCATACGAAGAGAAAAAGTCAGTGACAAAATTAAAAGGGTGCAAGAGGGTTCCCGTACTTTGAAGGAGTTTGTTCTCCTCAGCGGGTTCCTGTTCTTTGAAATATTCCACTAAACTTTGGTTCACCAACAAAAAAAAACATTAACAGCTGAATTATGGTTTCTAGTTATGGTTTAAAGTCAGACACGCAGTGTTTGAGGGGGGAAGTATTTAATACTAAAAGTAAACTAAATTTGATTGCAGCAGTGATTATTTTTAAGGTCAGTGTTCCACTGAAAATGACTTGCTTTAAGTAACTTTCTTGAGCCTATTAATTATTATTATCATTATTAAAATTAAATCTTAAAACTAGCATTATAATAACTTTTTTCATTGAGCTGTTCCTCTCACTACCAATGCTGAATTTTACTTTACTCTTGAGAAAACGGTGATTCAAAGGTAGAGAAGGGTGGGGAAAATGTACAGTGGACTGGACACCTGTACTACTAGATCAGTTGCAAAGGGATCTCAAATAGTTTCAAGAAGCTTAGGAAAATTTATCTTTAAAATATGCCTTAGATTATTGCACTACGAAAATCTCCAAGTAACTGAACTTGGAAACAAAGACAGTAAGTGCAAACACTTGTTGCTTAGTATGCTTCAAGTTTCACTTCAGGTTTTCTTTTGTGCATTTTTTTTCTTTACTGCTGCATCCAACTTCTAAAACCAAGTGTCATGTTTGTTTGGAGAATGTCTATGGTTCTAACAGGCTGTACAGAATTATCAAGCAGTGCTTACTGTGAAATTTCAAGCAGTGAATTCAGAGGTGCACATAATGTAATCTGAGGAAAACTTAGTTTGAATTATTCAGTAGCATTACTAATTGAATATTCTTGTATTGCCTCACTTCTGCCTTGCCAGCAGCACACATACCTCTGAAGCAGCAAAATCTGTGGGCCCTCTTCTTTGTGATGCAGTCCTTGAACATAAGCCTATGATCTTTATTTCGTTCTCATAAGTAGTGTTGTGCTTCAGTAAACTTCTTCCTAAAAACATGTATTCGTACCTTAGTTCCTGCAGTGTTTTGTAGTTTTAGATAAAACCCAGGAATACTTGCATTGTGTTATTGAAATAAGAGAAGACAGATAACTGACTAGAAGTCTTATTCAACATCTGGCGTTGCCCTTGTTTGCTTCCCTTCCCTCAATGTTTCTTCCAACATCTCTCTCCTGAATGTTGAAAAATAGCCTTGCTAGGCTTTAGCCATGCTAACCAAATGTGTATGCTACTAGATTCTCCGGGAGTCCCACCTAGTGCGAATGCGCATCAGCTCTTCAAAGGATTTAGTTTTGTTGCAACTACTACTGTAGAAGATCATAAAATATCACCACTCACCAATATACTGCCAATAGTACAGGTAACATTTTATTTTTTGGAAAACTTTTGACATGCCAAAGATTGACCAATATTTAGTGTTTACAGTCTGTTCTTTTTTGGCTGGGGAGACTATTATAAAATGTGCATTACTAAAATGCTTCCAAGGCATATTTTTAAGTTTTAAAAAGTGAATTGCTGTTTTTCTGGAGGCAGAATTCAAAAGGGAAAGCGTGGGCAAGCAGAAGAAAGTTCTGCTGCTGGGAACAGTATTGTGGCAAAGAGCGCCTTGTTGCTTTAAATGACGGCTTGTATGTGTTTGTTTTTTAAAGCAACTTCATGGAAACAGCGCACAGTTTACTGATGTCTACGAACTGAAGGAAGATATCGGTGTGGGTTCCTATTCTGTTTGCAAGCGATGTATACACATAGCTACAAATATGGAGTTCGCTGTAAAGGTACTTTGAATAAATTTCACTGTGACAGTTCTGAAATTATTATGTAGTAGATTTGTAAATAAGTGCATGAATTTTCTAGTTACCGTAGCTGTTTATATGCTGTCAGAGATGAAAAACAGTGTTTCTTCATTTGTTTAAATTGCATATTGGCTTCTATAGCTCTTCTTTTTGTGGGCAAAGTTATGAAGAACTGGCTTTGCAATTACAATCTTGAAGCCTGAAAATATTGTACGATGATGAGCACACCTGAAATAAAGTAACATCCACAAGGGTAGAACTGGGCTTTAGGGAAGTAGTGGTGCTTCAGACAGTTCATTGTATTTCCTTGTCCATTGGAGCAGAACAGACTGCGTTAATGATCCAGTTTTAACTGGCAGCAAGGATAAAGCAAGGAATGAATAAACAGGTGGGATGTGAAGCTGGAAGATGACTTAGTCATGATTAGTAAGAAGTAATGAACTCTAGAAACCTTTTTATTTTGTTGTTGAAGTGAGAATACAAATACAAAAAATGTCTTTACTAAATAGACTTTGTTTAGCCAAGTTGTTTTTCCTGTTGCTATATTTTGCAGATAATTGATAAAAGTAAGAGGGATCCCTCAGAAGAAATTGAGATTCTCATGCGTTATGGACAACATCCAAATATTATTACTTTAAAGGATGTATGTACCTCTTTTTCTCTGCTACCTCTCATTACACAGTAGCCAATAAATAAATATAGATGTAGGGAGTTTACTGGGATTTATTAAATTTCTTTTACATAGTAAAATATATCAGAGGAGTAGTACATAAAGTGTTGAGTATTTCAAAACATGACATTGTCCTGATATTAATTTTTTCTAAATGCTGTTTAATGAACTTGAAGTGAGAAATGATGTAAAGGTTAGAAATGTCCTATTTCCTCTTATTTCAAATGAGTAGCTAATGTGTTGGTAATCTTAATCTGAAAAAGCAGTTACATGTCGTCCTGTATATGCAAAGTGCCAGCAGCTAAAAATTGTCCATGGAGGGGAAGAGCAACAGGGAGTGGTACGGCTGCTCTTCTGTTGTAAGAGAAGTTTCTAGACTGAAGAATTTAATTCTGAGTCATTAATTAGCAATTGATTACCTCAATGTCTCACAGAATGACACATAAGCTTTCTTATACTTCATGCTTTAAGGCTCCAGAATTGCAGAATTAAATTTTTCAGGCCGTGCTGTTTGTGCTTTGTGTTCATATGTGAATAGGTGAACAATCTAGTCTGTAATTTTTACGTTTATCAGGATGTATAATTATAGATGATCTTTTTTAATATATATGTGTGTATTTATGTATGTATGCGCTTGTCAAACTCGTCATCAGGTGTATGACGATGGTAGATTCATATACCTTGTCACTGAACTGATGAAAGGAGGAGAGCTGCTTGATCGAATTCTCAGACAGAAGTTCTTCTCGGAGCGAGAGGCTAGCGCTGTATTATACACAATAACTAAGACTGTGGACTACCTGCACTGCCAAGGAGTGAGTAATTTTTTCTATGACATAGCTTCTTTCACACTTCTTAAAATTAACAAATGCCTTTTGTTACGTGCTTTGGTTGGCTTGTTTTTACGGCAGAAGGGAAGAAGATTTCTGAGTGTTTTATGAAAAAGGTGAATAATATAAACAACTCATCCTGTTATTCTGGCAAGCCCTTTCGACTTTACTTTTACAGTTTATGAAACAGCAGATACTTGTTCTCTTATGCTTGTTGGCAAATGGTTGTGTTAGTTCCAGTTGCATTATGAGCCCGTAGGCTTTTTTACGACATTACTTGAACTGGAATCTTTTGTTACTTGAAAGTTATATAATTGTGTAGAACTGTTAATAGGTATATTAAACTAGAGAATAGTTTTTTATAAATTGCAAATTACGTACAAACAGATGTACGTGCGACTTCTAAATGATAGATTTTAAAATTTCTTTGTTCAAAGGTAGTGCATCGAGACCTTAAACCTAGTAATATTTTATATACGGACGATTCAAATAATGCTGATTCTATCAGGATTTGTGATTTTGGATTTGCAAAACAACTTCGAGGAGAAAATGGACTACTTCTAACTCCATGCTACACTGCAAACTTTGTGGCACCAGAGGTATCTTAAACTGTCATGTGTCTTTTCTGTGCTGTTTTTGATGCGAGTACTTAAACTTTTTAACAGTGCTTAAAAAAAAAAAAAAAGAAAAATTCTGCTAGTTTTCCTTAAATGTAATTATACATACTTTCTAAACACTGATGCATATGTTTATAATAAACCTGCTTTAAAAATAGCAGAATCCACCCTCAAAAATAAGATGTAAGCCTATTGAGAATCTTAAGAGATGATGTTCTGTGAACAAGAAATATTGTTGATAGTTAATGTAACCTGTATATTGAAAAATAATTAATGAAGCTTCTGAAATTACCCTGGGATTGACTTACACTTGCTTAGGCTGTGTGTAGTGGTATTGTTTCGGGGTGGTTTTTTTAATATATGAGAAGACTTTAACACTCTTTGTTTTATAGGTTCTCATGAGACAGGGATATGATGCTGCTTGTGACATATGGAGCTTGGGTGTTCTTCTTTACACAATGTTGGCAGGGTGAGAAATATTTCTTAGCTTTTTTGTTTACCTAAAATTCCAGCATGCTGCATGAATCCATGCTGTCATTAAAATTGTAAGATATTACCTCGTTGATTTGGATGCAGAATGATAAAGACACTGAAGTGGAACAGGAAGCTATAAGTAAACGCGTACATAAACTAGGCTTGTCTTACAGGTGGGTTCAAGGCTTCTCTCTTCTATAGTGCATGACTGGGGGATGCCAAAGACTCTCCCCAGTTTCCAGGAGAGAATTTAGTCTGTGAAAGTATGTGGTGGTTTTCTTCTTTCTCCTTCTGCCTCTTGTCCTCCCCACCTTAGTACCTTTGCAGTCCTCCTTCTTGTATCTCCTGCCACAGGCTTGAGTCCTGGCCCTTTTGTAGAACACACTGGCTTGTAACCTCTTAAGTTTTCTAAACCTCTGAATTGTACTTCCTCATGTAAAATCACCACCACTACCGTTTTGTCATCAAAACTCAGACCGATGTATGATTTAAGTGCACGTATGCAGATATTGGGCAGTATACTGTTTGCATGCTTAAGAAACATTGCCTGAACAAAAGGTATGGCAGGTCAAATGTATGGGGGAGGAATGGTCCAGCATGAATTCCTGTCTTTCCATTTTGTTCCTCTTAAGCTCATCAACTGAAAGACTGGGATAGTTCTTAAACCTCTGATGATGCTGGTCGATCTCTCTTCTATGCACAGCTTTCAAACTACTAAGATAGAATGCATTAAGCTTAATTATTATTGTTTGCAAGCTAATTTGAAATCTAAGGGGTATTATGATGTAACTATTTAATCAGAGTAAGATTTGAGTTTTACAGTTAAAACTTGGTACTAGTCTATGATCATAGGAGATGCCAGAACATTGTAATACTCTTGATAGTATTAAAAGGTGTATTTAAGTGATTCAGATCAGTTTTCAGATTTGCCAATTTGGTTCTTTTGAGTTTGTTGCAGTAGGATTTGTAGAAAGTAAGCCAAATTTACAGGAAACCCTGTAAACTGTTACAAGCCTCCAAAACTCACTTAAATAAAAAACTGTCATGAAAATTTTCTTGTAGCTTTTCCCTAAATGGTAGATGTGTGTACATTGTGCTCATTCTCTGTCTAATTAAATGCACACACCCTACACACGATATTACTCCAGCTTTATTGGGCCATTCTGCTAGGGTACTGTTCCAGGTTTGGATTACTTTACCTGCTCTGGTAATCTAGCATAAGTTGTGTTTATGAATCACTTCTATTTAACTTGAAAGCCTGCACTGATTAGAATGCATTATTAAGATATTAACTTAAGACATCTTTTTAGTCTGCATTTCCTATTTATTATACTTGATTAACCACAATTATGGGGAAAAGAAAATAATATAGTTTCGAAGATGAAATACTAATATAAGAAGTATTCAATAGTATGTAGCGTGTTTCTGTCAGCAGTGGGATGTCTACTCAGAATGATTAATGAGATTTTACCAATTTCTTGCAACTTGTTACCTATAACGAGGTGTTTTGTTTGTTTGTTTTCCTCTTTCAACAGCTATACTCCATTTGCCAATGGTCCTAATGATACTCCAGAGGAGATCCTGGTACGGATAGGCAGTGGAAAATTCTCTTTAAGTGGAGGCAACTGGGACACTGTTTCAGATGCAGCAAAGGTGTAAATGTGTTTTGTTCTTATATTTTTATAGAATTCAAATGAACATCTACTGAACTTTATAAAATAGACTGGTCTAATGCAGTAGTTTGCCGTTATTAACTGCAAACTTCATTGCCATGAAGGCCACGTAGTCCAGTCTCCTGCTCAAAGCAGGGTCAGCTGTGAGATCTGACCAGGTAGCTCAGGGCTTTATTCAGTCTGATTTTGGAAACCTCCAAGGGAGGAGGCTGCACAACTTGCCTGGGCAGCCTTTTCCACGGCCTGACTGCTGTAATGAGGAAAAAGCTTCTCCTAATTTTAAACCAGAACATCTCGTGTTTTGCTTCTATCCTCTGTCTCCATTCCTTTGGACATACTGACTTAAGGAGTGCAATTACCTCCCTTGGTCTGCTTGCTGTGCTTCAGCCTGGGATGCTGTCAGCCGCCTTGGATGCCAGGTCACACTGGTAGTTCAGGTTCGGTTTGCTGTCTACCACCAAAACCTCCCGGTCCTTCTCAGCAAAGCTGGTCCCCAGTCCGTCAGTCCCCACCTTGTACCTTGTGAACAATTTCTTCCTTTCCAAGCACAAGACTTTGCATTCGTCCTGGCTGAATTTTGTATGGCTCTGGTTAGCCTGTTACTCCTGCCAAGGTACCTTTGGACAGCTGCCCTGCCCTTGAACTCCTTCGTTCTTTCCCCATGCCGCCGGTTTGGTGTCCCACTGCAGACTTGGCAAGAGTGTGCTCTCTTGCTTCCCCCAGGTCACTGATAAAGATTTTAAATAAGATAGATCCTAATATAGGCTTTTCTAATCATCAGTATTTTTTTTGTTCCTTGTTTTTATTGGACCAAAACCAGGTGTTTGTGGGATTCCCTAAATGGAAGGATGACTTTTTACAGTTATCAGTTAGTTCTAGTAGCTAACCAGTCTTGCATTAATAGGTTAATTTTTTTTGTAGTGCAATTTCTTAAATGTCATTCAGCGCTGAAGTCATCGGGTCTTTTGTCTTTGTTAGTACTTCCAGCAATTAAACTAGTCCTTGAACAACCAAATATATCTGGATATCTTGCCAAAAATCTGGATCAGCTTGATTATGCAGCTGTCCTTTTATTTAAAGACTGCATCCCCGATCAATTGCTGTATGTGTCCTCTGGGTTTGGTGTTGGCCTGGTCTGTAGGTATCTTAGTCACCACTCTTACCTTTTATAAGGCTTGGCATTAATATTAAATCTTTTCCTGATCCTTTGGAACTGCACTATTTGTTCATTTCAGTAGGAGTGATTCAGAACACTTGTTGGCTGATGCTGTCTTAGCACAAGTAATTCACTTCTGTATATTTAAGAATGCTTAACATTTTGTACCTAAAACAAAGGGAACATTCTGTTAGCTTGTTCATATTTTGTGTTCTTTCAAGCTATTCCTGTCTCTGTTCTGTGCCCTTCCCACCCAGCTCTTCTTTTGACCAACATTGTAATTAGTAGCTTATTGCTAATGCTTCTAAACAGGCAAAAACAAGTGTCCCTTTCTTTTGGCTTTACTCTTTTATATAGCTCCTTGAAGGAAGAATTCTTTGGTAGTATATCACTATATATAAATTAAGTTATGATATGTAATTAGCAGACCCCAAATGTGTAGTATGAATGAGGAGAGATGTTTGCAAATCATAGCTTTCTTCCTTAAAATATGCTAAATTTTAATAGGATTTCTGGTCTTTTAAAGATTATATTAATAATAAACGTAAATATGAAACACAAACAGCAGTAAGTTTCTTTGCAATGAAGGCTTGCTCTGTTAAACTGATTAAATAGTACAACACATTGTTCTCAGACTTCTGTGGTGTCAAGGCACAGAATGATCCGATTTATCCGCTGGTTTGTGTGCGTGTGTGTGTTTGCATTGTGTTAAGCCCTGCCACATGGGGTACTTCTTTCATTGCTGCCATGCTTAATGCTTTAAAGTCTGTATGAGATTATTTTAACTAATAATATGTGTGGGTTTTGTTTTTATCTAGGACTTGTTATCACATATGCTTCATGTAGATCCACATCAGCGGTATACAGCAGAGCAAGTGTTAAAACACTCGTGGATAGCCTGTAGGGACCAGTTGCCGCATTATCAACTGAACAGGCAAGATGCACCACATCTAGTAAAGGTAAAACAACCTGAAGGCTGAATGTTGCTGGAGCTGGTGGATGCGCAGTGAATTGGGTCACTTTTAGAGCTCCAGGCAGAACTCTTTTTTTTTTTTTTTTTTTTTCTCCTTCTTTTCTTTAGAAAAGAAATCAGCTTTCTTTTGCTTTCCCTAAAACATACATATTTAAGTTACATAAGCAAACAAATTATTGGCAAACTGATTTTTTAACCTGTGTGTAACGGAAGAAATTTTCCTGGGTGTTTTGTTTTCAAAGATTAAGGTAGCCTTGGCCATCTGGGAACCTGATAAGACAGTTCTCTGAGACTGAGCCTTCCGCAGGTCTCCTAGCATTCTTATTCAAGAAATCTTTTGGGATTTGGTTCGGTGACTGGCTCATATTATGCTTTCCTAACATAAATTAATAAACTACGCTATAGTTTTTCCGCTGGTATTTTATCTGTTTGTTCTGTATCTGTGTTTCTGACTTGTGACACAAAAACTTTCTAGTGTATGCAGACAGCTTTTAAGTTGACTTCATTAGTTTTGTTGGATTCAAAAGCAAGGACCTGTGATAGCCAGTCGTAATTGCGTTGCCTTCGTAAGTCAGGACCTGAATCGCCACTTAAGTGGCTGTGTTTGATAAATTGGTACTAATGTTGCTTGGAAGATACTAATTCTGACCCGCATTAAAAGGTTACTCCTACATCTAAGGTATGTAAAAGAAACACACAGGAAAGAAAATATCAGATACCCGTGCTTAGAAACCTGAAGGATTCAGCAATAAATGTTTTTTTCAAAACAAACTTTAGAGAATGTGTATGGCCTGTCATAAGTCCTGTTTTTTTTTTTTCTTAGAGTTAATTAAGAATTTAATATTCAATTGTTTTATTTTCTGATAAAAATGACCTTTACAGCCTTTTATCTATTTCATTGTTCTCTAGGGAGCCATGGCTGCTACGTATTCTGCACTGAATCACAAGACATTTCAGCCAGTGTTAGAGCCTGTTGCAGCCTCAAGTTTAGCTCAGCGACGGAGCATGAAAAAGCTAACATCAACAGACTTATAGATCCACTGGGACAGCTTAGCAAACAGCAGCAAGGGGAAAATCCAATAAGTGGCTCTATTTTGCCTGACCTGTGATCAAAAGGCATCTACGGTTTCCTGCTACACTACTTGAATTCTGTAAAAGTCCTTTTTTTAAAAAGAAAAAAAAAATCCACAGGTTCATACTGTGTTGTTTTACAGGCCGTATCTGTTAAATTAATTTAAACGTCAGGTACATCATAACGAATTTCTCTACACTGTCCTTTAAGAGATCTGTTGCAAATATTATTTCACATTCTGTATAGTTTTGCTGGGTTCATTTAAAAAATGGTTTAGGGGACCGTTGCCAATGACCAAGTTGTACATAAAGTGTCAGTGTAAGTTTTCTTTTCTTCACACCTTTAGATCCTCTTGTGAAGGACAAATTCTTAATTTTGTAATTGGGCACTTAATTCATTCAACTTAATTTAACTTGTTCATTACTGTTATGAAAAGCTGACTAATGTATTGTGCCAGTGTTGAATGCATTAGTGTTAATTTGGAAGGTCTGTGTTTGCATGGTGCCGGTAACTGATACGTTTATGTGAAACTACAAACAAAAGGGATGCGTAAGATTCTGCACTTTACCCATAAACTTAATTTGATCGCTTGTGACCCAAAAGAAATGCTGGTTGACAAACAGCCTCTTACAAGAAAGTGAACGTTTCTAGTTGTTACCACAAATGGTATTGTGTCCTGCACTGAGCTGGAGAAAGTAAGTATGTGTATAAACTGTCAAAATTAAGGATCTAAATAATACTGCTACCACTTTAAGACAACATCATGCAATCCAATATTTTTTGTTATTTATATTGTCTATCCATTTGTACAATTATGATGTTACTGTTTCCTCGGCAGTTGTTTCCACTGAATATACCCGATATTAAGTTTGTTTGGCTTATAAGACAAACTGACACTTTATTATAACAAACTTGGCACGTGGATTTTATTTTTTATTTATTTGATTTTTATAGAACGTTGCTTCTATCTGAATCTCTCGCCGCATGTACAAATATTACAGAACATAAATGCGAAATTCTATTTGCCTAACTGTAGGGGTAGCTTGGGAAAATAAATAAGCCTTGCAGTGTGCCCAGATAAGGGAATTCTAACCAAGAAATTTCACAGTTATGGACACGTTCCTGACAATATCCTGTCGCCAGCACTCACTCGCCCTCTCTGTCTTGGTGTTAGGACTTCAGCTGGTTCCAAATGCTGCGATGGAGAGGAAATTCATTTTGGGGCCAGAGTTATCTCGGAGTTTTCTGACTCAAAACCAGTGCTAGCTGCTAGTAGACTGGGAACTAATGCATTCAGAGGTGATGAGCGTAAAAGTATTTTCAAAAGTTGCAGCACTACTGTGCAGTTGTACTGTCGCGGTAGGATGATACGCATTTGAAATACGAAGTATATTAGCGACCAGCAGTTGGACTGTGAACAGTTAGAGAATCCAAGTGACCAAAAATCACATGTAGTTCAGACGGATTTGCCATCGCGGAGTTTCCTGTTTCCGATACCTTTGGCAGCCAATTACAAGACAGCGGTGATGGCAGAACTCGGTGTTTTGAGACAGAAAAAAAAAGCTTTCAGGAGAATTCTGGCCCGGCTGCCAAGAGTGGCGGTAGTAACTCGGATCTTAAAAGGCAGAGGGTGCTGGCTGGCTTTTGCTTATACCTGTGAAGTACTTGGTGGCATTGGAAGTACTATTAGATAAGCTGCTTTATTTTGTTGTGGTGGGGGAAGATGGAAATTATCTGGCCAAATAGTTAGGTATGAATATATGTAGATTTGAGACTTAATGAATATAGCAAACATAGGTGTGCTATTTGTATCATGCAGAACATACCCCATACTAAATTTCTTGAGTGTTTGATAGATGTTGGAAGCTTTAGGGGCCATTTGTGCCTGGTTTTGAGGTGCCTGTTTGAAATGCTTGAAAGCTTATCAAAGAACACACCTGCTTCCTGGGAAGCTTATTGTTCAGGACAAAATCTGCCCCTTATGCAGCTGGTTCATCCTTCTTTTCATTACTGAAGACCTTTACCAGCAAGAGTGCCTGTAAACCTCTTGTCTACAGTCTGTTGGCATAATTTTTTTTGTAAATTTACAAATGACTGCCAGAAGAACTTGAATTCACTGTAAGAAAAAAAAACGGCGGTGGAAAAAAGCCACCTTAGCCCAAGGTCAAGGTATAATGTGAGTTGAAATGTACTGGTAAGAGCTGTGTTGGGGATAGAGGGTAATGCGAGGCGTGGAACACAACTAAAATGTCAAACCTGAATCGTCTTCAGCTTTCCCGTAAGGTGGCAGCTGGTCTTTAATGGCTTTATTCATGAATCTTTTAACAGTGTTTATATTGGTATTTTCTTTTTAGCTTGCTTAGAAGCACCACATTATTAGCACCTTAAAAGCATTTTGCACAAAAGCAGTTGTAAGCAGCTGAAGGTACTTAAGTTCTTCTTGGTGTGCAAAACAAAGGTGGTAAGAGGAAAAGTACACAAACAAGATGGATATTCTGAGTCTTAGCAAAGAATTTAAAACATCTTCTATCACCTTATCCCTGCTGGTTTTCTGTCATCACTAGCCTTTAGTGCAAGCGGTACTCCTTGGGGTAAAAGCACGGTTTCAGTGACTGCAACATTACAAAGTTGTCTTATCACAAGGAAAACATGGACAAACACCTTTGTTATATCTGACAGGCCAGTGTACCCTGGTATGCCAATTTTAATCCCTGATTTGGGGGGAAAAGTTCACTTGCTGTGAATCTTTCAGCATATCCGTCTTTGAAACATTTTGGATATACAGGGATACAAGAGAGTTCACTTGCAGGTTACTCTTAGTGTATAGTACTTAATGATCATCATCTTTGTGATATTCCTTTTGGAATTTCTTGCATCCTTTTTTCAAACAGGTTTTGTTCAGTTAAGCGATTATATTAAAAAGCGGCATGGTCTGCTCACGAGTAGGGAGTTAAGTGTTTGAAATGGAAGAACGCTTACTTGAACTTGCTGTTGGCTGGAGTGAAAGGTTAGTGTAACTTGTCTCACTTTCTTATGGTCTTTGCACAGTTCAAGATTACCAACTAGTTACAATTCTACTACTTACTGATTTTTTTTTTTTTTAAGAGGGGGAAATTTTTTTAAAAAAGGTTTTTATGCTGTTGGCTGGAGTGAAAGGTTAGTGTAACTTGTCTCACTTTCTTATGGTCTTTGCACAGTTCAAGATTACCAACTAGTTACAATTCTACTACTTACTGATTTTTTTTTTTTTTAAAGAGAGTGAAATTTCTTTACAAAGGCTTATAATTACAAAGGAATAGGTACGTATATATATTATGTATTTAGAGGAATTTCCAGAGAACTAATTAATAACTTCAATGATATAATATTTGGGATATGGCTTCTGTTACTGCCAGCAAAATAGCTTCTACTCCTCTGTTTGGTAATGGCAATTCTAAATAAGCGCTAGGTCTCAAGTGCATGTGGAGCCTGATGCATTCTCACGAAAGAGAGGAGATTCCCGCAGACACCAGCTATAGCTGGAGCAGGCTCATGACATGTTTTGCTGTTCTTTCGCCCCTTGGATATCGCAATTTCTACCTTCAGTTATCCTTTTGATTTAAAAAAGCAAGGAACTCTGTTGTATTCCTGTTACATATCCAAAAACCACGCAGCGGCCTCAGTATCAGCCAGTGGTGCAGAACGAAGAGTGCCCGTACCCGAGAGCATGACCATGGGTGGATTCATGCAAGCCACTGTCGTGTGGCTTGTGTAGTCTCAATGCCGTTGTTCGCACGTGGTGTGTTTTTTTTTTTTTTCCCACTATGCTTAAAACTAGTAAATTCTCTTTGACTACGCAGAGACCCTAAAGCGTAGGTCGTCTAAACATACTGTCCATTTGAGGCCTATGTTGTAGCATGGTTTAATGTTCTCCTTGCATCCCGAACCTCACCCAAGTCAGTCATATTGAGCTTGAATTCTGTCTTCCATGTTCAATTCATTTTCCAAAGCTCATCTTCATATGTCTGATAGTTAAAATTACCTCTAGCAAACATCAACAATTGGGAGTTACTTGCAGTGTACTTCTAAACTGGCCATTTGCAGTGACAGATTGCTGCGTCCAGTGCTCAGCTCTCTGCCCTCAAGTGTTACAAATGAAAAGTTGAGATAGCTTGTAAGAATTGACTTAAATGAATTACACAATACTATAGTAATTATCCTGATTTGTGTCAGTGAAATGAGGCTAAACCATCAATGCAAACGTGGGGTTTATGTACTTCTGTAGCACTTAAGTTTTTCGGTCCTATCCAGAATTAGAAGTTTGCAAATATTTGTGGGAGGGAAGGGAGGAGCAGGTTTTTCTTTCTCAAGTTTTCAGAAGGCTTCCAAAGCCGTGGTAAGAGTCCTTATGTAGCCCGATGGGAGCTCTATATGATTACAAAAAAAAATTTTTCCTTGAAAGTTTATTCAAAAACTTTCTTGGGTATGTATTGGTACCGGTTGGTAACACGCCTGCGCTGTCGTTCGTGCCGTGCCACCCTGCATTGACACCCCTTTAGTTAAGTGCATTCTCAATACTGTCTGTCCCTACTTCAGTGTGGTTTTTAAATGTTTACTCCCCAAATTATGTTGTTGATAAGCCTACATTTTCCTTTGGGAATGGAAGAATGAATACACATTTCAAAAAAAACGAAACACCCTTAGTGTATAGCTAAAGCTGACTTGAGTATTATCATAACTTCTGTAATTAGAAATCCCCCCAAAATAATCAGTGACTGGTTTTTCATGAGATTTTTTTCCTATGTAATGAAAGCAAACTTTCTTTGAAAGCTTTAAAAGGTACTTAATTGATTATGTCTCTTAATTATTAAGATCTGGGCAATAGCGTGTTCCCGATAATGAGTTTGAATAACATTGAATCCTGTTTCAGAGGTTTTTTTTTTTATGTGAGAACTGAAAAGACGCTGAGGCGGATCTCCTTTGCAGGACGAAGTGTTCCTGCTTGGTGTGTTTTGCGTTAGGCTTACGAGGAACGTTTGCTGAGTAATTGCGTTGTCATACTATCCCAAGCACTTTGGCATCTTGCACTGATACTCTGATTAGAGCTCAGACTCTTCTGGCACGTGACTGGCTA